AACCGCCATGTTGGAGGATCCTTTGTTTTGCACCAGGTTACTGGAGTCCCCATGAGGAGAAGAGTTGATGGGAGCAGCAGTCTTTGATGGAGAAGTCGAAGTGGTAAGAATTGGGTTCAAAATGTCCTACAGAGGCAAAGAATATTAAGAGCACGCACCAAGGTAATGAATAATTATTTTGTTAAAAATTAGAGTTCAACTTACCTGTGGATTCTCAGAAGAGAGGTTGCTATCTATATGTTCCAACATTACGTTGGAGGTCGAAGGTGGATTTTTGGATTTAGTTGAGGGAGCAACATCTCTGGAATCGAGTCTAGAAATGCCAGTTGGTGCAGCGCCTTTGGAAGTTTCTTTCTTCTGCTTCTTCTTCGAAGCAGTTGGTGAATTCCCTCCAGCAGTGGGATTCTTCCCAGTAGTGTTGGTTTTTCTTTTCTTTGTAGTGGTTGGTGGGAGTTTATTAGTCTGAAAAGATTTAAACATGAGTTAGATCCAAATCATGCAACTCAGTTTATTCGAAACATCAGGGCTAATTGATTACCTGTGGAGTGGGAGCAATTGTTATTACTGGTGTTGTTGTTGTTGCAGTAGTTGTTGTTGGTTTGGATAGAGTCACATCATCAATGGTTTCGACAGATGTTTGGGAGGCACTTCCCTCTTTAGACTTCGAAGCAACGGTCTTTATCCTGATGGCTGAAAATCGAAACAATTAAGGCAAAAGTTAAAAATGTAGAAAGTGAGAAACATTTGGGATTTTCCCAAGCATTCGCACCTGCGCCTTGATCAGATTTAATCGACATGGCAGAAAGGTCATAGCGAAGATGTCCTGGGAAATCGTGGAGCCAATGACGAGCCCATGTCACAGTCTCAGATGGCTTTGGTTTCTTTTGAAGATATTTGAACATTTCTTTGCAAGTGAACCACCAAGGGTATGGAGGAAACCAAGCCAGAGCCAGTTCTGAGGTAGGCAATCTAGGGAATTTAGGTGGATGCATTTCGAATGCCAACCTATACCTATCCTCAGGTGACAACCCTGAAGGAAGTTTTAGCTTAGAAATTTTTTCTTTAAATTTTTCCTTCAAGGTCTCAGCCGCTTGATGCACAGTGGATTCCAAGTGTGTGGGATCATAAGTGGTTTCGAAATAATTTTGAAAAGCCCTAATCTCTTTGGCGTGAGTGAACATACCTTTCTTGGAGTGTACCTGCACATCGAACGCATCAGCTAGTTTCTGTTGAATAGAGAGGGTATCGAACATATAAGATTGGTAGAACTTTGTCCACCATTCCAGAAAACCCTTTGCTGTGAAGTGTGTGGGTTCAAAAGGTATTAGTTCAAAGTGGGCGAAGCCTTGATATTGTTCTTGTTGTAGTTTGGCTTCTCTTGCTTTGAAGGTTCGCCCAGAAGTGATGGCACTTTCTGTTTGGAACAGAGGTTCAGGGATTAGTTGGGACAGGCCAAATTGTCTAGAAACGAAGTTGGGTTGATAGGCAAAAAGGAAGATTTGATTCTTGGAAGGAGTGATTCGCGAGGAGATTAATCTGGGAAGCAAAAAGGCTTTCCAAATGTCTTGAATTTCTTTGCTTTTAACTGCTTCTGAGAGAGCCATGGTGAACCATGATGGTCCATGAGTCCTTGAAGCAAAGGGCACCATGGTCTCTTCAAATTTGTGTCTCTTGGATAAAATCATGATATAGTTTGAAAAAAGGACCTTGAAGTCATCTTTATCATCGTTTGGGGTAAGTCTTCGCAACCTAGTACCTTCAATGATTCTATCCGCTATCTCCGGATCTTGTTCAACAATAGTGTTAGCAGTTGATAGTGAGGGTTCAAACATGGCATTAAGCCATAACTGGAGTAACCAGAAGGGGCCCACTAGAAGGATGTTTTTGGGAGTGTGGGATTTCAAACTCGAAACAGTTGATCTTAAACTTTCGTAAAGATCAACAAGTAACAGTTCGCTTAAACACACCCTCCTATTCTCATGTAAGTCTCTAGCTAGAGGGATGAACCTGTTGGCTACCTGTAAGGACCTGCTGCAGAATACATACCTTGATAACCATAAGGTGAGGAAAGCAATGTGTTCCACATCTGACACACTATCTCCTTCAGTGTGGTAGTGGCTGATGAACTTTGAAAAGCTGGCTTATTTGACTTCGAAGTCAATGATACTGGAGTGCTCTTCATTGTCAGGAATGTAGGTTTCTCCTACTGGTGACAAACCAGTAATGGCTGCTATATCAAAAAATGTGGGTGTAATCATTCCCCCAGGGAGATGAAAGGTGTTGTAGGTGCTGTCCCAGAAATATAAGGACGCAAATAATAACAGACGGCTATAGGTGAAGCCTGGTTTCGATAACTTAATCAAATTGTAAATTCCTAATTCCTCCCATTGCTGGGATTTCTTGGCTTCTACTTTGGTAAACCAATTTTGGTAAGCTGTGTCAGAGGTAGGGCAGGATCGGAACGGTTTAAAGTTGCTCTTCACATAGTCTAGCACAAAGGGGTCTTTTGGGGGAACGATTGGAGTTTCCACGGTTGTCGAATCAGAAGACTCGCTTGTCTTAGGGATATCCATTTTATTAAACAAAGGCTTAAAGTTATAACAAACAGGGAAGATTTTTCTAGTATCTTTTAAGATTTCAAAGACTGTAAGAGGACCCATTAGAGCAAACCTCTTTCCAGCAGCATTAGTTGGAATTAGTACTTGAGATGCGTAGAGCATTTCCTTCTCTTTGGAGATCATTTGGGGGATAAGCACAGATTGACCTTGATAGGTGCCAACCTTGCTTTCCATTATTGTTCCTGTGTTCTTTCCTTTCTTTTTGGAAGTTTTCTTCAGTTGGGATGATGTTGTAGAAGATATTGTTGGAGATTGTTGGAAGTTTTAGGGTTTCGGTGAGAAGAGAGGAAGAAAAGATTCAGAATGTGGAAAGAAAAAATAAAAGACTAAGTTGATGGGTTTTTATAGTGTGGAAGTTTAAACATCCACTAAGTAAGACTAGGATACGTGGGAGTCGTGGGTTGGATTGAGAAGGAGGTGGCGCAAAAGTTGATATTGGTAATAGGCGTGATTAATAATAATCATTGTTTTATAACTGCACCATGCTGTGAAATACTGATTCAAGATGGTTAAGGAATCTAAAAGGCGTCGTGATTGACGTGACTGGAGTCATACACAATAAATGTTACGATTACTCAAAGGTCACATCAAAATCTTGCGTATATATTTAAAATAAGTGTTTCTCAAAGGATCGAAATACATATTTTAAAGGGGCATTTTGTTGGCTGAAGATTTTGATGATACAGTTCGAAACGAAGCAAGTTGGATGTTTCGTTGGAATAAAGCAAGATGTCATGGTTCGAAATGGTAGAAGCAGTGCTTTGAATGAACATGTCAAAGCTCGGAGCTTCGAGTGACAGTTGTGAAGATATATTCAAAAGAAGTCTCGAAGTGGTAACAAGGTTGTGTCCAAGAAGTGAGTTCGAAGCGAAGAGTGCCAAAACATTTGAAATTCAAACGTAAGCGGGATGTTCGAAATTTGAAATATATGCGCTGGAGCATTCGAAGACGCGTGGAAGCTAGAGAGGGGCAGTGCTCTGCATGTTCTGAACGTGGCAGAATCTTATAGGCAAGACCGTTATGGTCGAAGTAGTATAAATAGAGGTCTTAGCATTAGGATTTCGTGTGTCATATCTATTGTACAAAATTCAGTAAACATTCAAAACACCACATGGCTAGGGAAACGAATGCTCGAACAATGTACGTATGATAACACCAAATATTTATGATTCAGTAAAACTCTTTATCATTTCCAGTTTATCTTTTATATTCATGTCAATATCATTCAAAAGCCTTTACATTAAAATCTTTTCATTCAAAGTCATCTACTGATTTCTTGCATTTGAAAGTCTTTCCTTCTATTTCGAGTACTTTACATTACAGAAACTCTTTTACATTTCACGCTTTTATCTTCATGCTTTCCTCATTCGAATATCTTTCCATTCAAAGTCATTTACTGATTTCTTGCATTTAAACGCTTTCCTTCTATTTTGAATCTTTTACATTTCAGAAACTCTTTTACATTACATGCTTTTATACTTCAAAGTTATTTACTTGTTTCTTGCAGTTTTACATGTCTTTACAATCGAACCTTTATTCATGCAATTTAGTTTCGCATGTCTTTACTTGATCATGTCATTAGATCTTTTAATATGGTAATCGAAGTAAGTTGAACGCCTACACAACATTCTAAATACCAACCATGAATATCAGTTCTACAATGAGAATTATCCAAATGACCAATACACCATAGGATCAATCTAGTCGATCCTGCAAGTTACCAGAGAGATTAAATAACAGTCATTAAGATTATTTGATAGTTTGGAGGACTAGCGGTTGTTTACCAGAAATCACTGTAAACACAGCGACAAAAGCAACATTAAGCGTCGTTTCAGATTTCATGTCCTGCTTAAATGACACAGGTTCCGATTTATCGATGTAGTTGAAATTGTGCGATTTGGGAAGAAGGATCAAGGTATCTTCTGATAAGGTTTGATGAATGATTTTGTTGGATTTGGGAAGAAAGGGTTATGAAAATTTTGGACAAATCTATGTTGATGGCGATTCTGTTTGGTCTGAGTGGAGAAAGACACAATTTTATTTCACTCATTGTGTAAGATATACAAATAAGTGTGAAATACTGTAATATAATGATTTGATATGTTGTCTAGCAACCAAGTGAACATGTGTTCGAGTCCTGACTTGAGAAATCAAAATGAAACGAATTTCAATAAATATTTGTTTAAAGATTTGATTAAATAAGTATGTAGAAAGATTTTAGCACATCTTTAATAATAATAATAGGTTGAATTTTGGGTGTGAAAATTAAATTTGAAGTTTCCTAACTGGCTCCAGCGTAACCTTTCTCTCCTCCCTTCACTCTTAAACATAATTTAGGGTTTCTGCCCCCCAAAAATTCCAATCCTTCCACCAAACTCAGCAATGGCTAAAAAGAAACAGATGGAGCCACAACAAACCCCTAAAAACGACACCGTATCAGCCCCTTCCAGCGTTTTCGATGTCCTCTTCGGCAACGCGCCGGAACAGATAACCGGCACCGCCGCTTCTCTCTTTTCCGATGACAACCCCTATAAGAGAAAGCCTCCACAACCCGCTCTTATTTCCGACGTTACCGATCACACTCCAAACCCAGAAAACGGCGTCGTAGATGAGAAGAAGCGAAAGAGGAACAAAGAGAAAAGCCCCGTGCTTGATTCAAATTCTGCAATTCAAGTTTCAGAGAAGAAGAAAAAGAAGAAAAGCGGTTTGAACGAGAAGGAAGGTGAAGAGAAAGAGGTTATTTTGGAGGTAGAAGCGATTGGGACGAAGAAGAAGAGGAAGAGGGATGAGGTTGAGAAAGAGTGGGAGGAGAAGAAGTATGGGATTGTTCAGGGAGGAGATAGAGATGAAAGGGAAGGGTTTGAGGAGGAAAAGGTTGGGAGCAAGAGAAAAGTGCGTGATAATCCAGCAGATATTATGGTTTCAAAAGAAGGTTTTGATGACGAAGATAAGCTTTTGAGGACTATTTTTGTTGGGAATTTGCCTCTTAAGGTGAAAAAGAAGACTTTGTTGAAGGAGTTTAAGAATTTTGGTGAGGTTGAATCTGTTAGGATTCGCTCTGTTCCTTTACAAGATGTAGGTGTTCCATTTGTTTTTTTGTCTTGATTTGGATTTGTTGGTACTCTTTGAGTCTTTAATGATATTGTTTTGTTGCTAACTTCATGTGTATTTTTTTTTTCATGAACCAGACTAAAAAGCCTAGAAAGGGAGCCATCCTTGCGAAGAAGATCAATGAATCGGCTGAAAGGTAACTGTTACTCAATGACCTACATGCAGCTTGTTAAGTTTATTGATGGTTTGCATAGCGAATGCTGTTATTTTGTATACAATATATTGAGTTGAAGGAAAAGCCTACATCAGGCTAGGTGAAATCGTTCTGTTTTGATGATTTGTAAGAGTCCTGTAAATTCTCCTTAGTGTAACTTATATTGCAAATTGGATTTTTTTTTCAATGGTCTTGTTCTTAGGCGACTTGTATACAGTCTGATATGATATGATATGATATGAATACATGCATTTTAATGTAAAGGAAACCTTTTCATACATTTCTAATAGAAAAATATTGGGGTTTGCAGTGTCAATGCTTACATTGTTTTCAAAACTGAGGAATCTGCCCAGGCTTCATTGTCCCACAACATGACTATGGTATGTACTTGTTTCTCTAAGTTGGGTTGGATCAATTTTTGCCAATGCCATGCATTTCAGTTGAAGGGTTGTGGCGGACGTTCTTCTAATATTATTATTTCATTATCTGGCTGTAGGTTGAAGGAAACCACATTCGTGTTGACAGAGCATGCCCGCCTCGCAAGAAACTTAAAGGGGATAGTTCTCAACTTTATGATAGTAAGAGAACTGTTTTTGTGGGTAATCTCCCATTTGATGTAAAGGTATGTTTCCAATCTGTAAGTTTATATTTAAGGTCACACAATTCCATTTTCCCTTGTTGGATCTATATTGTTCAATGATTCTAACATGTGATCTTTTGGTGTAGGATGAAGAACTTTATCAGCTATTCGGTGGTATACCCAATCTAGAATCAAGTGTAGAAGCTATAAGAGTTGTTCGAGATCCTCATCTTAATGTTGGAAAGGGAATTGCTTATGTGCTATTTAAAACAAGGGTATGCTGTTTTGGTGCCTTATTTGCTATACATTTTGATAGAAAAAAGTTTTCGCTGTGTAATTGTATGTTGTTTAGCTCAAATATGTCATGATTGAGGTTTTCATGTGCTTTCCTTTAGGCACTAAAACATGGGCCTGTCTGTGCTATCCCATCAATACTTCAATTTGTAATGAAGAAGCCATCTTATTTGTCGGATTAATTTTAAGAATTGCATGCTATTATTACTAAAAAGCACATACTTTTTCAGATGTATTCTGGAACACAAGTATTGAAATGGACGGTTATGTGTGCTGTAGTTTGTTAATTTTTATTTGGATGAGCTATGTAATATGCCTTTTCAGTAACTAGGTAGATGTAATTTTCAGAAAATATCTCTATTCGATGAGAATATTAGTAGTTAGAGACTGTTATGTATGGTAAAAATAGAGTTAAAGATGCATTTTGCACTTTGAAAGGCACTTTGAAAATCATGTTAAAGCCTGTTTATCAATATCTGATTATTTCAATGCCCAATCCCGCTCCCTGATATTTGGGATGCAGACTGGAAGAGAACTTGAGCTTTCAGTTGATGAGTAATGTCCCTTGGACATTTCTTAGGAAGAAACCCTTTTGGTGCTGAAATATGGGGCTGTTAGAGGTTGACGACAAGCCCCTGAAAGTATCCTTGTCATGGAGAAACCATCTTATTTGTCTTATTGCTTTTAGAATTTCATGTTATGTTATCTATTTCTTTAAAGCATATACCATTTTGCAACATAATCTAGAACGTAAGTATAGTTGCATGTGCCGTGGTTCTGTTGACTGACCCTGGCTTGGATTGGCTATTTTTTTCCCTCTCTTTTGGCTTCAAACTGCTGGAGATGTTTCAGCTTTTCGTTGTTTTTATGGAATCAGTTGTGATTCACTGCTTTGTTTTACACACTCCAGACCTCAATGAATAACTGACAAAAGATAACACCATAGTATTGATATTCAAAGTCGTGGTTGACTGGATCTAATTTGAGACATTGCTTTTTGTTAAAGAAAAATATTATTGCATATGAAAAGTGGCATAAAGAATGTTCATACTTATTTTCAGGCCTTATTACATGGAACTCTGTATATTGATATTAATTAATTATTTGTGATTGCAGGAAGCTGCCAATTCCATTGTTAATAAACGATCCTTGAATCTTCGAGATCGAGCATTGAGACTCAGTCGTGCTAACGCAAATGCTGGTGCTACCCCATCTAAAAGGCTACACTCTCCAGCGGCACGACTCAGTCATGGCAAACCAGACGCTACTCCATCTAAAAGGCCATACACTCCAGCTGCACAAGCTCATAGTACCCCTGCAAAGAAGTTTTCATCTGCTTCAAAGTCTCCTTCAAGCAGTAAAAACGGGTCAAACAGAAAACCTACTGCATCTTATCAAGGTCTGCGTGCAACCAAATCTGATGTCCACAAGAAAAGTCATGGTGGAGAAAAACCAAAAGAGCGCACAAAGAAAAGACCAACCGTAGCTGCCAGGAAGGCTAAAATAAAAGTTCAGCAGGAGGGTGGTACACCCAAACAAGCGGGGTCAAAAGGTACACCAAAACAAGCAGGGTCAAAAGGTACACCAAATCAAGCAGGGTCAAAACGCAAGTTTGATAGCCGTACTCCTGATAGCTCCCGGCGAGTTATGAAAGCTCAAAAGAAGCGGTAGAATGTTTCTAATGGCATCAAGGATTAAATTTTGTTTTCTTGTCATAATTTTCTAGCTCTAAAGGACATGGAGGAAAGAGTTTGACACTGATGATTTTATGCAGTCGGGTGGCTTCAGTGTCAGTTGAATTTTCACAGTTAAAAAAGCAGTAGACAGGGGATAGAAATTAGCTCTTGTATTGTTTAAATCATTTTACACTGTTGTGTAAGTTCTATTATAGAACTTATATAAGGTTTGTTGTGGCACTCTGTCTTAGAAATTGAAATTGGCCATCAATTTTTGTTCCTGAACTTCTGTTTATCAAGTTTTAGTAAAGCTGATTTCGCCTAACATTGACAGCTATATCTATTTGGATCCTATAGAGCTTAAATTTGTATGATATATTTTATTAGGAAAATGCTTATTGTTAAGAAAAATTGAAAACAAGAAATATAAGAATAATCTCAATCATTCATTATCACCACTATCTCCATGATTTTTATTAAAACATAAATTAAATTTAAAATAAATTAAAAATTCACCTATAAAATAATGACATGCGTCTATTTTTGTATTTCTTCTTTGTTTCGTGCTAAATAGTACTACTAATTTTATTAATATATTATTTGTTGATTTTAATTATCTTATTAATTTAATTTTAATATAATTTTTTAGGATTTTATTATGTTTCAAATATTGTCCTTTAATAATGATAGTATATATACTATATTTTGCATAAAATCATTATTACTTTACTATAGAGGGATTTTATGACCTGCCGATCAACGACTTGAGTTGCCTTAAATGCCATCTTCCAGTTTAACCTTAAATGCCATCTTCCAGTTTAACCTGACACTCTTACATAAGAGATGCAATTACTGTTATGCTCTTTTTTTAAAAATTCCGGATCTTTGGAAAGTTTATGCTTAATTTTTCGTTTAAGTATGGGATTTTTTGGCAATTTTTTTCGTTTGTGAGAAGAAATACTAGACATTTTGAAAAAATGCCGTATATTTTGCAAAACTAAGAAAAATCACCAGACATTTTTTTGAAATTGTCGTAAAAAATTATGGGAATCTAGATAACATGTAGATGAAACACTGATATTTTGAAAAATCCGATGCACGTTTATTGAGAAATTCGATGCAGTTATATATTTGATAAAATAGAAATTTATAATACAAAGTGTTACAATATCAATACAAAATAAATTGTGTTGACTTTCTAACTTCTTTAGGATCTCAGTGCCTAATATGTTCCGTATATGTTGATTTCCATGCTCTCGCATCTTCACTACAGTTATGTCACCATCGAACTGTGACGAAAGTCAAAATATATTTGAGTTTCAATTTCACCTGAACCCAGTAATTGTTGTCAACAAAACCAACTGCAATACTTTTGTGTCTACTCAAAACTATGCATGAAGCTATCACTAATGGAAAGAATTAATGTTAAGGTTCATGGACAACGAGACCAATATGACATTGTATCTAGAAGTAATAGGATAACCCATATCAGAAATCTTCATCCACTTCTCGCGATCATGCACGCCCAAACTAGCTACCCGCAACACACTCCTAACTTATGGTATTGTGTCATAGAACACGTTGAAATATATTTGATGATGTTGATAAACTTCAATATCTAATTGCGTCCCAAAGACCAAGACTATTCCAAGTAAACCTGCAATAACACGAAAGCCATAATTTCCATCTTTACCCACATCAACAATGTCATCAATGTACTGATGTAAAAAAAGAAGAAACTGATATAAGTATTGTAGTTTTGAAGACTGACTATACGGTTGAGCTTCAATTGATTTTTTACATGATCTCTTTGTATTCTGACTTCCTTGCGAGCGCTCAACATACTCCCACTGCGAAGGATGACGATGCACATCACACTTTTGATCCTTTTTACTCTTCTTATTTTCACTCTTTAGCTTCTACTTCACTGGTGGTGGACACATAGAAGTTGTTGATGAATCTGCTAGTTCCTGAACTTTTTTCTTCATCACCCTCTGACCTACAATACCTAGTGTACTGAAATACCTCTTCAACTCTTCACATTCTTCTTCTAAATTCAAATGTGTCTCACTATCTTCTTCAGTTACCTCATGCTCTTTAATGAATATTTTCTTCCAAAACACATGAATCGATTCTAAGGAAATAGGTTCACCTTGTATTTGAAGACCTGCAAGTTTACACACATAAGATAGCCCATGTGTTGTTCTAATGAAGCACTCACATGCAACTTTGTTAGAACCAACAAATTTCACCCTCTCTATCTCCTTTTTTAATGTGTTGTATACAATATCTTGAAACGAAGCCGTGTAATATGGAGTAAAATGGAATGTTATACCGATGCTCAATGTTGGAAATACATTTCTAAAATGATACTCTAATTGAATCTAATTGCAACTTCAACATGGTGTTCACAACACCCCAACTTCTACATAAATCTCCCCAGCTAGATGTCAACATGTTTTTTAGTCTCTAGTGAGCAGACTCAACCCTAAAAAACATAAATAAAAAAAGGATGTCATTATATGATAATTAGTAATGTAACTATATTCAAAGTCACATTGATTTACCTGTTCGTTGTCGTGTTCCCTAATTGAGTGACTCTATTAGTCCAAGCACTAACACATCTTTCTCTATAGGGTGTCAACAAGTTTCGTGCACATACTGGACAAATTTAGGAACATCAGCGCATACAACCTCAAAATGCTTCAATTGTACCAAAAATCCAGACTCCCGATTCGAATATATGATGTTGTTCCATAGATCCACAATATGCTCATTCCTATGTGATTTGGAATACTACTTACACTTCATACTAATATTTTTTGAAATATGGAACAAACACAAGTTTGAAAACACAACTTCCACATCTTTCATCAACGTCAGTTCACGGTCCATAACCAAAACCTTCAATAGAAACATCTCGGAAGCGAACAAATATTTTAGTTTCTCTAGTGCCCATGTGAAGTTTTCCTCCCTCTCATGTTCCATATAGGCAAATCCAACCGAAAATATCAACTTCATGGATGCAACACCAACAATCTCAAGTAGTGGCAGCTGATACCTATTTGTTTTGTATGTACAATAAATAATCAACAACTTTCACCCCAGAATTAAATAAATGAATAGAAGCAATTGGAGCATGAAATACTTGTTTGTTTTGTATGTACAATAAAAAAATCAGCACCAAATGAAACATGTTTAACAACTTCACTAAATTATGATGCATCCAAAAGATATTAGCAACAACATTTGAAGAGTCCCTATTTCCAGTCCAGTACATGTATTTCTCTTCATGAATAAGACTTAACAAATGTTGCAGTTCAATAAACGAACCTCTCTTGCTCGTCTTGTACATGTATCTTTCATTATACATTTGTGTAACACTCGTCAGATTTTTTGGATCTCTATCTTTTAAAACAACTATTATGTATCTGGGAGCCTTATTGTATTTGGTGATATCATTCACAAACTTTATTTCATTACCTTTGAAACTTGTGTCTGGCACACAAATTAATCAAAGTTATCCGAACCAAATATCATCTGATGATTAGAAACCAAGTAGTGTTATTGTGTTGCCTAATCAGTAACACATTAATGTACAAGATGAGAAGAACTGGTTGTTCCCCTTAGATGCTCCAGTAGGTACTGATGCCCGTCCCACTAGTGATATGGTGCTGATATTACACAGGAGGGTGGAGACACCAATGAGGAGATGGACTTGAGAGAGTGGATATCTCAATCCCCCTATCACCCATACCTCACCCCTCCCCCTAGCATAACCATTCACCACATCCACACCATGCACCAATCCTCCCTCAAATATACATGATTTTTCTTCTTCTTCTTCTTCTTCTTCTGTAGGTGATTAGTATGGCTACAACCATATTGAGTATGAGCTAACCTCTCTACAAAATGAGGTTGCTGATCTCCGAGCTGAGCAACAGGTAATGAATGAAATAGAAGCTCAAATGAAGCGTGCAACAACATACTCATTTGGTGGTCTAGTAGATGTATCAGATGTTCTTTCAACACGGTCAGTTGCATCCACTTGGCCCTGATGGTGATGATTGATCACATATTCTACCTTCCTTTCTCACACTTTTGTCAATACATTGAAGATAATATATGATTTAAGTGTTGGGGAGGAAACTTCCCACTCTCATTATATTAGGGTTACTTGTTTTTTTAGTTTAATTTATTTGATGTCTTATTAGAATTTTTGTGCTTTCTAGTTTAGAACTTTTAATTTTTATTGTTAATTAGTGTCATAGAGTCTTTTATGCACGTGCTTTCTAATTAGCATGTTTTGTCGAGTAATTTATGCGTGTGTTTCTACTATGTTATCAATTCCTCCCATTTCTTGAACTGAACAATTTTTTTGAAAAGGCTTAGGATTTATAGTCCACTTAGAAAGTATATAGGTTTCAAAGAAGGAGAATATAAGGTTAAGGACACTTGGGAAAGCCTCCCAAATATGAATGTCAATTTAAGTACCCGTTGTGCAGTAGTCTCGAAATCCTGTTTCATAAGTAATCTTTAAATAGTTTATTTACCCAGCCAGACATAATCTATAGCCACACACTAAGTAGGTTAGTCGATGAACATAAACAAAAAATATGAAGCGTAAAAAAGAAAAATTGCATCTACTAAGTTGGGTAACACTCACCCGATTATTTAGTCCAACGATGGTTGAATCTCGAAAATTCAAACAAAAAAATGCATCTTTGAACAAAATGTGCAAATATAAAGAAAAGATGAATCAAATTGCTAACCAGATTTCTTGTCATGTGTATGACATTTATATAGATGCTTAAGTGCCTTAATGTGACTGTCTATAATAAAAGAGGGTGAAATAAATAGGAGAGTGAGACTAAGATACAACGACATGATTTGGATTGACATGCATAATGATACTTTTGTCTGCAAAATGCAGTTTGTGTTGTCATAATATCCTTAGTGTTAATGTAAGTGCTTATCGAATTAGCTTTAGCCGATCCAACTTTGTAACCATGTATGATAATTTGTGATGCTATTTTTCCTAAGTCCTCTTGTGCTTAGTTGCCACATTTTACTATTTTTTATATGCAAGCTAAGTTGCTTGAAGACAAGCAACAATGAGTGTGGAGGAGTTTGATAACACGCAAAATCACTGGTTTATTTCACTTGATATGCACATGTTTTAGTGTCAATTTTATAGATTTTATAGTGTTATGCTGGTATGTTATATTGTGTTTTAGGAACTAATCAAATAATGAGGTGAAAAACGACGAAAACGATGTAAAATAGCATAAAATAGCCTGTCATGACGATTATCTGGAAGTCATGACGACCATAATGAGGAAAAAGGATCTGCCCATCAGCCAAGCAGCAAGAAAATGAAGAAAAATATGCTTGTCTCCATGACAGTATGACCGTCAGCTGGGGTGACGGTCGTCAGGATGTTCAGGGCACAAATTATGTAGACTCAACCACCGTTTTTCACATTAAGAGCCCTATTTCTCCACCGCTTTTACACGATCTGGAGCAATTTGAGTATAAAAATTCCCCAATAAATAGTCCCTCAAACTCCGATTTCAGGGAACCAAGCTTGTAATAGCCATAGACTTAGAGATTTAAAAGCATAAACATTCAACATTAGAGTGTTTAAGCAAATTTGCTTTATTTTATTTTCTGCATTTCAGAGTTATTATATTATTGTTGTTACTTTAATTCAAACTTGTCGATATTATCTTTCGCATTATTTTCAACTTTGTATCAGACTAAGTCTCCCTTCATAGCATCATTTAATTCAAAGTACCTTTTTAATGCAATTTACAGGTTCTTTTTATCTGCTTATTTCCATTATGTATGCCATGAAAGTATGCTTTTTATGTATGTTTTTACCATGTCTGAGTAGATTTGTATAGAGTCCGAAATAATGATGTCTGGTTGATGATAAAATTCACATGAGACTGTTTAATTAATTTTTTTAATGAGAATAAAGTACTTTCCAATTTTAATTATTAAACTTGTTACAAAAGTAGAAGTATAGAGATATCGGTTATGTATCAAAAGAGTGTAATTGGTATCCATCTAGAAAATTCAAACCTTTTAATTCTTAGGTAGTGAAGACATCTTTAAATTAATGGAGAAATTACTATTATTTTAAAAATGAATTTTGCACTATGAAGTAGGCAAATGTGCGTTTAGAATTCGGTAGCGCGCCAGTGAAAGTGGGTGCTATACCTAATTTTAGTATTTTCAACAAAACTATAAACCCTTAGTTTCAAGGTAGTGAAAACATCTTGAAACTAATTTAGAAATTACTTTCTAATTTTTTAAAAAGATTTTTAATAAGATTATTTCCATGTGAAAGTAAATTCTAATTTATTTAGAAATCCGATAACGAACACATGAAAGTGGGCGTTGCTATTAGTTGAACAATTTCCACAAACTAATTTTCTTATTACAATAATTAATTGCAAATTCGTGTGAGTGGAATTGGTAACCGAAAATTAAATTTTCGGTCCCTTATTTAGCATATTTAATTAAGTTCAATTATTTTTATGTACAAAACATCTTATTCGCATAACCATAGATATATAAAGTAACAATAGATAACGGTATTTATCGATTTGTCTTTGTGGAATCGACAATCTTTTATACTAAACTGATATAGCCGTGCACTTGCGGTCCTATCAATATGTTGATGTTATGATTATTATATGTGATAGTGTTGATGAGATTGAGAATTTAAAATTAAATTTAACTGAGTAGCAAAGAGTACTCAAGTCCTTCATCTCAGAAATTTAAGTTGCCTACTCTCATAAAGGATAACTTCTTTCTCAATCCAAATACATTTCCAAAATTATTGGACATGTTCGTCTGTCTAATACCGTACTAAAATATAATCCTCTTAAGTTGTATATTTAGTATGCTCCCTCTTATGGTGTTTCTCTATCAGATTCTGCTTTATATTGTACTTTGATTGGCACTCTAGTGTGCCTTACAATTAATTACTAGGCCTGATAATTCTTATGTTAGTGACATTGTCAGTCAGTTCGCTGCCTCTTTCACTACAATACATTGTACATTTGTTCTTCGCATCCTTTATTATCTTCTGGAAAACTAATTTTCCTTGTCATCCTTATTGGAGTTACTTGATTATTTTGAAGTTGATTAGGCTGGTGATCCACAAATTGTAAGTCGACCACATGGTTTTGAATCTTTCTTAGAGACTCTCTTATTTGTTATAAGATTAAGAAACCAAATATTATCTCTCGTTTTTCTACAAAACTTGAGTATCATACTATGACATCCACCACTATTGAAATATTTTTGTTGCATTGGTTATATTCTGGATGAATGTCTCTTTATCTGAAGCAACTCTCATGTATTGTGATAATAAAAGTGTCATTCAAATTGCTCATAACTCGGTCTTTCATGAAATTACCAAGCACACAAATAATGATTGTCATTTCATTATCCATCATTTTCAGCTTTAAACAATTACTCTAATATTTGTCTTCTCATTCTTACAAATTGTTGATTTATCATAAAAATACATTCTTTTAAGCATTTTTGTTTCTTAATTAAGAAACTCACAATGTTCCATGTTAATGGATTATGATTTTTTTAGGGTGGCAGATATTAGATAACATTATTATATAATTTTAGTATGCATAGTTTAGTTTTTTCATAAATTACATATTTATATTTTATTGTAACCCTTTGTAATGAAGCCAAAAGAGAAAGAGATTCTAGAAGCAGAATATGAGTCAGCAAAACAGAGGGAGGGCCCACAAAATACACACGGAAAGGAAGTGGCTAACAATAACGCGGAAATATCGGACATACGCACAGGAGCAAGGCCACGCAAACCGCACAGCATGTGGAGGGACTACGTGAAGGAATGAGTCAGTACTTATACTGCAGTAGTGAGAAATTGTAGGCTATGTGATGAGTAAAGTTGTTATTCTTCTCCCTCAAAACTTTCTTTTTCACATCTGGATTTTTATTGTATGCCTACTGTTTGATTAAAGTCCTATAATATTATCCTCACTTTTCTTTCCATCTTTTCTACAATATTTAGTACTGTTTCATTGGTGCTTTCATCACACCATGGCCGAACCCCAAAACAAAGAGCTGCAAGCTGAGATCAAGCGCACTAATGAAGAGATGCGGTTGTTTCAGACTGAAATCCTTGAGCGTATGGAACGATTAGAAGCTGGTAACACATCAAAGTTTAATGATATCCATGCAGCGCTTGACATCCTCATTCAGCAGACACCGTCGAAGCATCGCCATGGTGCAGAACTCAACAACAGGCCTCCGTTTCAGGTGAGAAATGTCAAACTCGAATTTCCTCGTTTCGATGGCACTAACGTGCATGAGTGGATCTTTCGAGCTGAGCAATTTTTTGGTTATTACGATACCCCTGATCCTGATAGATTAACTATTGCATCTGTGCATCTGGATAAGGATGTGGTTCCTTGGTTTCAAATGTTACAACGTTCTAATCCGTTTCATTCTTGGTTAGATTTTACTCGTGCTTTAGAATTGGATTTTGGTCCATCCATCTATGAATGTCCCCGTGCTACCCTGTTTAAATTGACTCAAACTGGAACTGTTTCTGAGTATTATCTACAATTTACATCATTAGCTAATAGAGTTTACGGCCTAAGTAATGATGCTTTAATTGACTGTTTTATAAGTGGTCTCAATTCCGAGATCCGTCGTGACGTGTTAATTCACACACCCACCTCCATTGTGAAAGCGGTATCTTTAGCCAAAGTCTATGAGGAAAAATACACTCAAACACATAAACCACAAAGAGCCAACCCATCCACATATATCAAACCACCCTTCAATTCATCCAAACTAGAAATTAACCAGAGAAACACGGCCCCCATCCTCAACACACCCCCCACCAGACCTATGAGTCAGTTCCAAAAGAATCCCAATATCAAACGCATTTCCCCTGCAGAGATGCAACTCAGACGGGACAAAGGACTTTGTTATTGGTGTGATGACAAATTTTCATTTACTCATAAATGCCCTAACAGACAACTTATGCTATTACATTATGATGACACTGAGGATGATCAACTCAGTGGGGATATCCTGAATCCATCTGATTTCAGCACAGACAGCATTCCCACCGTCGAGCCGGAGCATCATTTGTCATTAAATGCAATGAAAGGAGATTCTAATATGGGTGTGCTAAGATTTTCTGGGTTAATTGAGAACATTAAAGTGCAAGTATTGATTGATGGTGGTAGTTCCGACAATTTTTTGCAGCCAAGAATAGCTAAATTTCTGAAACTGCCCATAGAACCCGGTCCAGCGTTCAGAGTTCTGGTTGGCAATGGGGAAATTATGAATGCAGAAGGGGTCATTTCAGACTTGTCAGTTAAGATACAGGGTCATGAACTGAAGGTTCCTGTGTTTTTGTTACCAGTGGCTGGGGCAGATATGATTTTGGGTGCATCGTGGCTAGCAACTCTAGGACCGCATGTGGCTGATTATGCTTCACTCACACTGAAATTCTTTCTAAATGGGAAGTTTGTCACGCTGGAAGGAGAGAAAGTTCCCAGACCTGCAATTGCTCAACTCAACCATTTGAAGAGGCTGCAGAACACTGGCGCTATAGCAGAATGTTTCACCATTCAATGGCTCAAATCAAATGTTGTTGAGGACATGTTCAAGGAGCTACCTACTGATACCAAACCCGAGATTTATATGTTACTGCATACATACAAAGCGGTGTTTAACACACCCGTTGCGTTGCCACCGGATAGGTCACATAACCATCATATTCCATTAATGGAGGGTTCTAATCCTGTCAAAGTTAAACCATATCGATACCCTCATAGCCAAAAGACACAAATTGAACAAATGATCCATGAAATGCTGCATCAAGGTATCATACAACCAAGTACGAGCCCATTTTCTTCACCAATCATATTGGTGAAAAAGAAAGATGGTACATGGAGGTTATGCACGGATTACAGGGCATTAAATACTATCACTGTCAAGGATTCCTTTCCCATTCCTACAGTAGACGAGCTATTGGATGAGTTATTCGGAGCTAAATATTTTTCAAAATTGGATCTCAGGTCTGGCTATCATCAAATATTGGTCCAACCCGAAGACAGGTATAAAACAGCTTTTCGAACACACCAAGGACATTATGAATGGCTGGTCATGCCATTCGGACTGACCAACGCTCCAGCTACGTTTCAAAGCTTAATGAATCATATTTTTCAACATGCTTTGCGAAAATATGTTTTGGTTTTCTTTGATGATATTCTCATATACAGCCCTACTTGGCAAGCACATCTGGACCATTTAGATGCAGTTCTAAAAATACTTCAAGACAATGTTTTGTTTGTCAAGTTATCTAAGTGTTCATTTGGAGTTTCAGAAATTGAGTACTTGGGACATAGAGTTACAGGTCAAGGAGTTGCCATGGACAAAGATAAAATCCAAGCTGTACAGGATTGGCCTGTACCTAAGAACGTGAAGCAATTGAGGGGTTTTCTAGGTCTCACGGGTTACTATAGGAGATTTATAAAATCATATGCAAGAGTGGCTGCACCATTGACTGAATTACTTAAGAAGGAGAGTTTTGTGTGGAATGACCAAGCTGAGATGGCATTTCACCAGTTAAAACTTGCAATGATTTCTGGTCCAGTTTTGGCTTTGCCGAATTTCAATAAACCTTTCATTTTGGAAACAGATGCCTCAGGGGTCGGAGTTGGTGCAGTGCTGCACCAAGATGGTCACCCCATTGCTTATTTCTCCAAGAAACTAGTTCCTCGCAATCAAAAGAAATCGGCTTATTTTCGAGAGATGCTTGCCATATCTGAAGCTATAGCCAAATTCAGACATTATTTAATGGGTCATAGGTTCATTATTCGAACCGATCAAAAGAGTTTGCGGAGTTTAATGGACCAAACCCTCCAGACACCCGAGCAGCAGCAATGGTTACATAAGTTTTTGGGTTACGATTTTGTTATAGAATACAAGCCGGGCAAAGAGAATCTGGCAGCTGATGCTTTATCGCGGTTAATGACTTTGTCATGGTCAGAGCCTGAGTGTCAATTCATTCAACAAGTAAAGGAAGTGTTGAAAAGTGATAACCACTGGCGTGACATCATACAAAAGTGTATTAGCCAAGGTAATTCATATCTCCAATATACTTTCAGAGATGGACTGTTATATTGGAAGCAACAAATTGTGATTCCTCAACACACTGAATTGGTACAGCAAGTCTTATATGAATTACATACATCCCCACTGGGTGGTCATGCGGGTTTTACTAGAACTATGGCTAGAATAAAGTCCCAATTCTACTGGCCGAATATGAAGAAGGATATCTATCACTATGTGCAAAGTTGTGGTGTGTGCCAACAAGCTAAAACTGCTAACACAGTACCGGCGGGGTTATTACAACCACTTCCAATACCATCACAAGTATGGGAAGATGTGGCTATGGATTTTATCACAGGACTTCCTTTATCCTTTGGGTTCACTACTATTTTAGTGGTCATAGATAGATTATCAAAGTATGCTCATTTCTTTCCTATGAAAACTGATTACTCTAGTAAGTCAGTGGCTGAAATTTTTATGCACAATATTGTCAAATTACATGGAATGCCCAAATCCATTGTGTCTGATAGGGATAAAGTGTTTACAAGTTCCTTTTGGCAACATTTGTTCAAGCTACAAGGTACAAGTTTGGCAATGTCGTCGGCGTATCATCCCCAATCTGATGGGCAGTCTGAGGCGCTTAATAAGGCAGTAGAGCTATTTCTTAGGTGTTTCACCTTTCACAACCCCAAGTCATGGTACAAGGCATTATCATGGGCTGAATTCTGGTACAACACAGCCTTACAGACCAGCATTGGCATGACACCCTTCAAGGCTCTTTACGGGAGAGATCCGCCGGCTTTATTAAGGTATGAACCTCAAGCTACTGACCCTCCAGCACTCCAAGAGCAACTGATGGAGAGAGACAGAATTTTACAGCAGTTGAAAGCAAATTTAGAAAAGGCTCAGCAGTACATGAAGAAACAAGCGGACAAGCATAGAATGGATGTGACCTTTCAGGTGGGAGAGCTAGTGTTGGTAAAGCTCCAACCTTATCGGCAACAGTCAGTGGCCTTGAGGAAGAATCAAAAGTTAGGCATGCGCTATTTTGGACCCTTTGAGATCATAGCTCGTGTGGGTTCGGTAGCTTACAAACTCAAACTTCCATATCATGCTAAAATACACCCTGTTTTCCATGTGTCTCAGCTTAAACCATTCA